CACAGTTATACCAAAGTTATATTCTACATTCTCCTTCTGGGTACTCTTCTTGGCTAACATATCAACTTTATCATGAAGGAGTAATCCAATGTGTGATGGGATCCATAGCAATTGTATATTAATTCCTTTGTCCCTAATTTTTGAGTATCTATACCTGGCTTCTCCAATGAGCATGTTGTTGGAGTCATTATACGAGTCAAGAGCCTTCAATGATGACGTAGAATCAGTAATGATGATAGAGTCAAGCTCAGTGTCATAGGTTAGCTTTAGCGCCATTAGGATTGCAAACAATTCAGTTTGCAGTGTAGACGCCCAGTTGTTAATTCTTATGCCTAACTCAACAAATTTATTATCGTTTTTAACAAGGGAGGTGGCAACAAGAGCAGATGCAGCCCTGCCAGAAGACTCCTGTTTAGATCCATCAGTGTATATAACTTGTGATAACTTATTACTACCAGCTAGGTGAGAAATTTCTTCTTGAGCAGTTTCTCTAACAAGAGATTTAAGGAAGGGATTACTAGCAATGAGCTTCTTGGAAGGGACTTGCAGGTATGAGATATTAAATGAACATATCTTCCACGGAGGGGTGAAATGCTCTTGTTGCCTACAGTGATACAGTTCATGTAGGTTATAAAATTTAATGCAATTGCACGTTTTCACAATCCATTTAGATCTGTGTGTATTTACCTCTAGACACTTGGTAAGATTCATTGTGACAGTGGTTCGTTTCTCAACATTCTAATACCGAGTACAGTGTTAATCTCAATAATCCTATCACTGATACTATAAATACCAAGCTCCTTCCTCATGTTAAGAACTTTTGTAGATCTGGGACAGCCAAGAATAATCCTGAGAGCTTCATTTTGCATTAACTCCAAGGGTCGGAGAAAACTTTCTCTAGCTAATAACATGGGAGCAGCATAATCAATTAAGGACCTAACATAGGTTATGTACATCATTCTTACGATTCTCACATTAGCACCATAGTTGGGGTTGTAGCCAGCAACAGCTTTGAGAGCATTTAGCCTAGCTTTGCATTTCTTGTTTAGTTGTGGTATAGTGGATTTGTTAAAGGGTACATCTACACCAAGATATCTAAGTTTTAACGTAGCTAATGATTTCACCCTGCAAATAGATGGGTGGGGTATGTCGTTTGCTTGTTAATATCTTTGTTTTAGAGGAAGATATTATGAGGCCTAGTCGATTACAAATTGCTTGAACTTCATTAAGAATGGTATTCATCTTCTTATGCCCTGTTGTATGGATCATGATATCATCAGCATAGCTTATAGCTATATGTTTAGGTGAGGCAGGTAGAGCATTTAGGAGAGCATTAATCAGAATATTAAATACCATGGGACTAAGAACTCCTCCCTGCGGTGTACCTAAAGACATTTCTTTAGAATCACTTCTGAAGCCTTGGTAAAGGACAGAGGATACTCTATTTGACAGGTATCCTATTATCCAGCAGAGTAAGCTACCACCAATATTCATTTTGGCTAGTTCATGTAGTATAACGGTTCTGTTCTCAATATCAAATGCAGATTTTAGATCAAGGAAAGTGGTAAAACTAGTAGAGGTGTGTGCAGTGAGAAAGGTGGAAATACAGTTCCGCACACTTACCTTTCATGAACCCATAGAGGTAGGGGGAAAGTTGGTGTCTGATTCTGTAGTACAGTCTGTTAAGTATCATTCTTTCAAAAGTTTTACAAAGACAACTAGTTAAGGAGATCGGTCTAAATGTATCAGGCTGTTGGGGCTTAGGGATAGGCACAATGAGACTATTGGTCCAGGAAGTAGGAAGAACGCCCTCAATGTAATTGAGATTATAGTGCCAACAAAGGGTTATCAGGCACGTGCCTTAGAGTTCTGAGAATATCATAGGTTATACCATCCTTTCCAGGAGCAGTTGATCGACCTTTAGTTAATGCATTATCTAATTCATACTCAGTAAAGAGGCAATCACTCTCATCAATATTTTGGCTCACAAAATTAATCAGTTTCAACATTTCTTCAGAAGTACTTTTAAATTTTTTCTAATACGAGATGGAAGGTTTTCATGCCTGGATGTTTTGGACCAGTCATTTATGAGGTCATTTGCATTTTCAAGAGGAAAGGGATGAGCAACATTGCCAGTCTTTCCTGGTTATTTTATTTATACCTTTCCAAGCCAAACTTAAAGGGGTGGACCTATTTAATCCACTAACAAACTGTTCCCATTCCTGTTGCCTAAGTTCTTGCTTTCTGTTCCTTGCATTTGTTAGTGCAGCTTGGAACGTTCTGAGCAGGTCTGGGGTTCTACATTCACGGTATTACCTGGAGTTTACCTGGAGAGAGTTCCGGGGGTCAACGCCCCCGCTGCCCGGTCTGTGACCAGGCCTCCTGGTGGATCAGAGCCTGATCAACCAGGCTGTTACTGCTGGCTGCACGCAAACCAACGTACGAGCCACAGCCCGGCTGATCAGGAACCGACTTTAGGTGCTTGTCCAGTGCCAGCTTGAAGACTGCCAGGGGTCTGTTGGTAATCCCCCTTATGTATGCTGGGAGGCAGTTGAACAGTCTCGGGGCCCCTGACACTTATTGTATGGTCTCTTAACGTGCTAGTGACACCCCTGCTTTTCACTGGGGGGATGTTGCATCGTCTGCCAAGTCTTTTGCTTTCGTAGTGAGTGATTTTCGTGTGCAAGTTAGGTACTAGTCCCTCTAGGATTTTCCAGGTGTATATAATCACGTATCTCTCCCCCGCCTGCGTTCCAGGGAATACAGGTTCAGGAACCTCAAGCGCTCCCAGTAATTGAGGCGTTTTATCTCCGTTATGCGCGCCGTGAAGGTTCTCTGAACATTTTCTAGGTCAGCAATTTCACCTGCCTTGAAAGGTATATGCTTTACCAATCCTCCTAGCTGCATGTGTTAGATTGCGTAGCTGTGGATCACTATAGTATTTACATTGGTTTTTATTGTTATTTATAGTGGAGGGTCTATGTTTCCTATTCCTGCCCACTTGATCTGTGAGAACACTCTCAATAGTGGTAATTAAATCATTAAATTTTTGTGCCAATGGGCTCGTAATTCTTATCCCATTGATCCAAGTGATTAATAAAGCTGTCTCTGTGTTCTGGTTTGAGAATAAGTTTCCTCCTTCTGTATTTAGCTCCTTGATTGCTGGAGATGTGATCAAGATTGACTGTTAGTCTTGGGAAGTGATCAGATAGAAAATCATCAACTATGACAGTCATGCATCGTATATGATGTATTAAATCCAAGACACAGATCTAGTATGCCGCCACGTATGTGAGTAGGCTCAGTAGTACATGCTCATTTAGCAATTTCACTAGTTTAGTTCCATTGGTGTTTGTTCTTTATTGACGAAAAGTTTCGCCTACTCTGCAGGATTCATCAGTCTAATGCAGAGATGAATTACAATCTGGAGGCAGGACAGTGGAGAGGTAGTTTGATATCATCAGTTTCTCGGTCTTTTGGGGAGATGATCAGTCTCTCGGCCTAAAGCAGAAGCACGATGCCAGACATCCCGGAAAGTGAGATGCAGCAGCTTGAGACGAGTCATTTGTTTACACCATTAATGTGGTTATTCCTGTCCGACAGTAATCTCTTGGGACAGAATTATTCTACTCCTAACCTACTGGTATGACCTACTTACTACTAGCGAGTGCCGCATACTGTCTCCATTATAAAAGTCTTCATCCTCGTGCTTCTACTTCATAGATATTAAGGCTGAAAGACTGACCACCTCAAATAATTTCACGTCTAACTGTTTTCTGCAGTGGATGATAAAGCCACTAGTTGGCGAACTCTACACATTAAAAATACCATTTTTCACATATACGTGTCTTATTCGCTAATGAACTGAGGAAACTTTGCTAATCGTAGCTACAGGACAAAAATTTCATACCCGTCAATTCCCTGCTTGATCATATTCAATAATTGTATCGCCTCCATGATCTTTTTTTCCAGGCTGGTAAGACTTGGCATGGAATGGTCCTCCGTGATAAAAACCGAGTGCAACATTTAGGTATTTATTACCAAATAACGTCGAATGGGCAAATACAACACTGGAGACGGGAAAAACTACAGTGACGAGTCACTGAGTCCTGATAGGTAGTTTGTCCGTCGGCTGGGAGATTGATTACTTATAAAGGCTGAGTAACTCATCAGCTCAAAAGTCATTTCTACTGTTTGTTGCCATATTCGACTAAGCTTTCAGCCTCCTGCGCGAGCGAAACTTTTCAGTAATGAAGATACTGTAGTGTTGTACTTTTCGGTATTTAATATCACAGGAGGATCCTCTATGCTCATTGTCTTCTGAGCTTTTGTATCGCCTCTTCACTCTTAACTAAAACAAATGGCTGCCCATGGGAAGATTGACTAGAATGCAAGTTACATAGGTGAGCAGCATTCACCCTATCTACATGGGTGTAGATTACCAAACAAGGTCAAAATATGTATTTTCAATTAAGAAATTTTGATATACTGTATTTCACAAAAGATTAAAGGAAGATTCCTTCCCTCCTCAAGGGGCTCTCCTGAACATAGTCCTCCAAGTATACTTGCTTTTTTTCACGTTTCTGAAGATTCCCTAACCCAAGTTAAATTGGCTAATTGCCTTTTCAATATCTCTAAGATTAAACCTGACGTTCAGATCTGTCGTCAAAAATGCTTTTATTTTATGGCTAAGTGGTATTGTTTAATTTTTACAAACTTCAATTTATGTGGAAATTTCCCCGCCTAAATTCAAAGGTATAGTTTTATGCTGAGAAGGGCTCTTTATCTAAGGCAGAAGAGCTATCCTCACATTCCCAAAACACTGAGTGACCCCTGAAAGCTCAACACTCTCGTAAAGCTAATTTTATTAGGTTCAAGTACAATATTAAACAATAACTAGCACCACCCACTATTTCACTGTCTTATGAAAATACACTTATATGACCAGTACACTGTTGCTAGATTAATCCAAATTTTGAACCATAATTCATTTTACCTACCTAGGGCATCGTAGTCGATTTGTTTATCTTCAATGCTGTCATTTTTACTCTTCGTTTCAATTTGGTCTTCCATTTTCATTTTCTGTTCATGTTCCACCATGAACTGGTCCTGGTGTGTCTGGATTACATTCATTAATAGGTCTGTGCTATTACTTAATTTAAAAACAACCAGGAGTTCACGGATTGTATCTTCGTCATACCCAAACTGTTGCAGCTGAATGTTCAACATTTGTAGCATCTGTGAGTTCTCAAAATCCAAAGTTTGTTTCTCTTTGTCACTGTGTCCGCTAACACCGCGCGTTAACACACTCGAATGTGAACGATGCCCTTGGTTCTGCACCTCTGAAGCATTATCTTCGTAATCAGGTGGAGGAAAAACCAGGTCGAGGTCATGTTGAGGGATGACCCTAGACAGGCCTGCAGGAGGGATGACCCCCATGTGACTTGGGACAGCCAGCATCAGCCACAGAACAAGACCACTCCCAACACATGGCGTCATAGTCCTACAAAAATACCTGACTAAATATTGCAATTTATAATATTTTTTTATTTTCCCAATCCAAGGAAATTATATAACAAATTAACAATCAGGCTCAGACTCCTCTATGAACTTAATACATTAAGGGGTTTGGCGAAGTTAGGTGTGTCAAATTCAATTTTTGTAAAACTTAACTAGGCTGACTTTCTCAGCCTAATTTAACAAAGAAACGGTAACTTCTTACCTTACTGTAGTAGATATAACTTCGCTCACAATACAAGTAATAATTGTAGGATAAGTCTCTTCACTGAAATTATCCAAGGAAAGATGCCACGAACAATTTAGGATGGAAAGCGATCATAAACGACAATTTCCATATATTTCATCCACTCACCCTTGTTAATACTTAAGAAAATTATGTAATCTCCAACGAAATTTACTGTATAGCACTACAAAAATAAACAGACTTTTTTGAAAGACATTTTGAGGTATTAAGAACAAATAAATTGTCGACACAGTATGACTACTCAAACCTCCAGGTATACCACTAGTTGCAACATAATATATATCGATGTAACGCCAACAAATATCCTTCAGATTTTTACGACTCTTGTGTAGTATCAGACGATTCAAGAAACAGATTCCCAGACAGTTATGGACAGAGCAGCGAGCGCGGCGTCCTCCTAGTCAAGAACTCATTGTATAACTAGTGGTGCGGGTGGTCAACAACACACAGCAAGAACCCTCAACCCAGGCACTGGTAATGGGTTAACAAAATATGTTTAGGCAACTTAAGTCTTGTTTGAAAAGCGTGTTCAGTCCCTAGATGGTGCTTGCGACCCAGGCTGGAGAATACTTGTAGTGCCTCTTGCATGTGTTTCAGGGGACTCATCTCCTCCACGACCCGGTCCCAGATCATGTCTTCATATTGATGTGCTTATCAGTTAGCCTGTTGGTGCTGGCTGCACGCAGGCAATCATGGATACAACAGCTTGGTTGTTCAGGATTTTTCCTTGAGAACTTAGATTCCTCTCAAAGATGAGGGATTTATCGGATACTCACTATATATCTGAAGAGAGTGTTGGCAATTCTTGAAACTTTGTTTGAAGTGAGTTCTTATTATACTTATTACATCCCTGATTTTTTTGTGAGGAAAATTTTCTCCCTTTGTCATGCCTTTCAATCTTGTATACCTTGTAAGTAACAGATTTGGAAGTAATCCCTTTACTTACAGTTTTCATATTTATGGGGAAGCGCTATAGTCATATATGGGAATGAGAGGCAATTAGTTTAGTTCCAAGGAAAGGGAGGCCAGGTCTAATTCCTTGCATCAAGAGCCCTTAACCGGCATCAAGGAACCTCCCTTGAGGGAGCCTTGCACGAAGACCTCCCTCACCATCAAAGAGCTTCCTATGAAAGCCCAATCCGTCAAGCATCTTCCAAGTGTAAATTATGAAACCTTTCTCTCGCCTATGTTCCAGAAGAACAAACTGAAGAATTTTCATAAGTGCCTAGTATCTTAGGGCTTTAATTAAATTTATGCAGCCAATAAAATTTTCTACATTTTTTTCAGATTTGCAATTCGGGAAGCCGTCAATGGAAGTATGGAAGTGTTAAAGCACGTCTTAAAAGTGCCGACATTGGTTCGACAGTAGTACCTATTTTCTTTTTAATGCTCCTAGGTTATCTAGTCTATCATTTTTTCATGGAGCCGTGATAAAAACATTACTATGTTCCCAAAACTTAAGATCCTTCCTCAATTTTGGTAAATGTTTTTTTTTTTATAGATGATCAACTATTACTATATTGCAGCCATCCTCTTACCACACAGACACACAGCACTGTTGTAAAAACAGTCAAATGGGTGGCTCTTGACTGAACTGTTGAAATGTGACTCTCATATGAGCCACATGCAGTGGCTGCCCATTTTCTGTTCACACAAAACTTTTTTTTTATCGTTTTTTATGTTAATAGTTTTACCCGTTGTATTATTATAATCAAAAGGAGGCGCTAAACCTACCAGGGTCATTTTCCCGTTGTAACGCAACCTAACTTAACATAATCCAACCTAATGTAGAAATGGGATAACCCTATGTGAAAGGGTACCTTAATTATTAGGAGGGTAAGTAAGTTTATTCAGGTATACACAAATACAGTTACATAGATTATCATAGTGAATATTAAAATGGTATACAATACCGACAGGTTGTTAGGTAAGACATATGCAACAGTTAGGTATCTTTATTTCGAATTATTATTATTATTATAATCAAGGGGGAAGCGCTAAACCCGGAGGATTATACAGCGCCTGGGGGGGGGATGTGGAAGGCATTCAGGCTTAATTCGGGGAACTGGAGCACAGATCCAATTCCCTAAATCAAGAGCCCCTCACCAACATCAAGGAACCTTCCTTGAGGGGTCTTTATTTCGAAACGTTTCGCTTACACAGTAGGCTTCTTCAGTCGAGTACAGAACAGTTGATAGAAGACTGATTACATTGTCTTCACGTCTCTTCTATCAACTTTTCTGTACTCGACTGAAGAAGCCTACTGTGTAGGCGAAACGTTTCGAAATAAAGATGCCTAACTGTTGCATATGTGTCTTACCTAACAACATAGATTATCATACGTAGCAGTATATGTGTAAAGAACCTAGAATAACCCAAAAAAGTCAGAGTGATTTATTTCCATTGGGGTCCTTTTATTATTATAATAAAAAATGAAGCGCTAAACCTACAAGTGTGTAGAGATACACAGTTTATAGTTTGAGAGTTAAGATAAAGATCTTGGCCCCTACCTTCTCTGTATTGTTAAATTAACGAGGAAGCACTAATCATGTAGGAGTCATGTAGCATTTGGGAAATGGAAGGCATTCAGGTTTAATCCAAGGAAAAGGATAAATCTGATTCCTTGGACCAAGACCCCTCCCCAAGTCATGATGGTCTGTAGGCTGGTTGGTTAATAGCTTTTAAAGTCTAGCTACTACACGAGGGTTATTAAGGCTGTATATCACATGCTCATTACCAATCAAGAATACTTTAATCCATGAAATACTGATTAAAGTGAACTTTTAGTGTATATATATCATAAAATATGTGTCTAGGTAAGCAGCATTTCCCAACCTGTGATTCACAAAGATAGTTATTATTATTATTACAGTGGACCCCCAGTTATTGGCCGTAATCCGTTCCAGAACGACGGCCGATAACCGAAATGGCCGAAAACCAAATTAATATTTCTCATAAGAATTAATGGAAATACAATTAATCCATTCCAGACAAAAATATTCACAAAAAATAATATTTTTTTAACAATTATGTAAGTATTACATACCTTTATTGAAGGCTAATGTTGGCTTCTGGAAGATAGGGAAGAGGAAAGAGGGAGGAGTTAGTGATTGGAAGGGATATCCCCCTCCATAAAGACTTTAGGTAGCAAAGCCTTCTCTTGGGTTACTTCCTTTCTTTGTCTTTTAATGCCACTAGGACCAGCTTGAGAGTCACTGGACCCCTGTCTCACAAAATAACTGTCCAGAGTGCTCTGTTTCTGGCGTCTCTTCAAGATTTTTCTGAAGTGGGACAGGGTTTTGTCACTAAACATGTTGCAGATATGGCTTGTTTCAGCTTTGTCAGGGTAGTGTTTCTCTACAAAAACTTGCACCCTAGTCCACATTGCACACATCTCTTTAATCTCTGAAGAAGATACCTCCTTCACTCCCTCTTCCTCCTCCTCTGAAGCAAGTTCCTCAGCTGCAGTCTGTTGCTGTTCAAGTTGAAGCTCGGTTTAATAGAATGAAGTTTGTTACCGAGCAGAGTTGACCAACGTTGTTGCCAACGGGTGTGAAGGTGGGTAGCTATTACAGCAAAATAGTCCAGAAATGGAACACCTCTATATGAAATTGGTAGGTCATGTACTGCTGACCGCGCAGCAGTGTCTGCCTGTTCATTGCCCTGTATGTCAACATGACCAGGGACCCAACAAAAAACAATATCTTTATGCCTGGTAGAGATACGGCATAGCCAAAGTTGGATACGGAGAACTAGGGGGTGAGGTGTATCAAATTTCCGTATAGCTTGTAGAGCACTAAGGGAGTCTGAGACAACCACAAATGATGACACAGGCAAAGATGCAATACAAATATGTGCTGCAAGAATGGCATACAATTCAGCAGTAAAAATGCTAGCCAAAGATAGTAAATGCCCTCGCACGATGCTGTCCTGAAACACTGCTGAGAATCTGACGCCATCAGAAGACTTAGAGCCATCTGTGTACACTGCGATGGCATGAGAATGAGAGTGGAAGTGGTCAAGAAAAAGAGAGTGGGAAGCCACCATAGGCAGTTGGGCTTTCAAGAAAGGGAGTGAGAAAGAACAGACCCGAGCAGCTGGAACTTCCCAGGGGGTTAGGAAAAAGTGAGATGCTACATGAACATATAAAGGTGGTAACTGGAGGGAAGACAAGAGCAAACGTAGGTGAAGAGAGAAGGGACGGAGCAAACAGGGGCGGCGAACAAATAAAGAATGTCTACTAATATCGGTGACCATTCTATAAATGGAAGGACTTCAGAGATCGTGAGAGTGTACATAGTAGCGAAGGCAATGGGCATCACGGCGATCAGACAAGGATGGAACATTCGCTTCTGCATAGAGGCTCTCAATGGGAAGAGCAAAAAGCACCAAGGCATAAACGTAATCCTTGGTGATGGATGGGGTTAAGGCTAGCGAGAGTAGCAGAAGCTGCTGAATAGATCTGGTCACCATAATCGAGTTTCGATAAAACGAGGGCTGAATGTAGGCAATGGAGAGTTCGATGATCAGCTCCCCATGAAAGATGAGCAAGGGTTTTAAGAAGGTTCAGCCGGCTGTGACAAGTTGCCTTCAGAGAGGTAATGTGAGGTTTCCAGGATAACCAACGGTCAAAGAGAAGGCCTAGAAACCTGACTGTATCACGTTCAGAGATACGGGAGCCATAGAGGTACAAAGGATGATCGAAGATGACAGAGCATCTAATGAAAGTAATTTGGTGGGTTTTGGTGCTGGAAAATTTAAACCCATGTGTGGTGGCCCAATTGGAAACATGGTCGACCGCATGCTGGAGAGAAACTGTAATGAGGCGACAGTCAGCGCCTGCACAAGCAATAGCGAAGTCATCAACATAGAGTGATGACCAAATATTGGATGGAAGAACAGAGGCCAAATCACTTATAGCAAGGAACAGAGCTTTTCACCGTAGCCGCCTCAGACTTTACTCTGTTGACTACTACTCTTTGTGTTCCGTTTGTGAGGAAATTATAGATCCATCTACCAACTTTTCCTGTTATTCCTTTAGCACGCATTTTGTGCGCTATTATGCCGTGGTCACACTTGTCGAAGGCTTTTGCAAAGTCTGTATATATTACATCTGCATTCTTTTTGTCTTCTAGTGCATCTAGGACCTTGTCATAGTGATCCAGTAGTTGGGACAGACAGGAGCGACCTGCTCTAAACCCCTGTTGCCCTGGGTTGTGTAACAATGGAAAACAAGCGAAATGTTTGGATGTATGAGCAGAAGCTTCCTCAGCCACCGAGAGACAAAGCCAAGCTGATGTGCAAGCGGTCCCAGCTGATGGATGGACGTGTCCCAAATGGCCGATCGCTGAATTAACGGCCGATAACCGGGCGCTGAAAAACCGGCCGATAACCAAGTTGGCCGATAACAGAACCGGCCAATAACCGGGGGTCCACTGCATTAAAAACAGGTGGCCAACACAGTTATGCAGCACAGGGGAAAGTCAGTGTCAGTGGTGTTGAGGGTTAGTACTGTGGAAACTATTATTATTATAATCAAGGGGGAAGCACTAAACCCATAGGATTACATAGTGCCTGTGGGGGGAATGTGGAAGGTATTCAAGCTTAATTCAGGGAACTAGAGCACAGATACAATTCCCTAGATCACAGGCCCCTCACCAGCATCAAGGAACCTTACTTGAGGGGAGTACTGTGCAAAATGAGTGATAGCTGGGGGAAGTTGGTTAGTTTCTGTTAAAATTTTAAGTTGTAGTCTACATTAGTGGGAATTTCAGAGAAACCTCCCTATGGAAGATGAGCAGGTCAGGGACAGCAGAACTAGCATGAGGAGCTATGAGTTCACTGCCTGTATCGAACATCAGAATATCTAGCAGCTCAGAAAAAAATAAATAAATAAAAAATAAAATAGAATTTAATCTGATTGAAGTATAATATAACCACTGTTGTATGTGAAGCACAGTGGGTTGTGGAGTTAAATTCTCACACACGAATGTACTCAAATGATTTTTTTCAGTGGATTAAATACAGTATTTGTTAAAAAATTTGTGCAGAGACTAGATTTGGGAAGGAAGTTGAGGTCTGAGGAGCACTTTCACCTGGGAGATCACTCAGTTCAGTGGTCCTGGCAATAAAAGTAAATATGAAACATACATAATAAAGCCAAAGTTAGACTACTGTACTAGCATGGCTAAAACACACAATACAAGGTGAATACACAAACCTGCACATGGAGAGAAGTGTATGATGACGTTTCGGTCTAACTTAGACCATTCAGTACAAAGTAAAATGATATGTATCATTTAAAACCCCATTAAATTGGCAGTGTCAAAAGCCTCAGCTAAAAGTTCCCAATGTTTTGTATACAGGCACCCAGGTAATCATAAAAACCATGACTTAAATGAAAAGTTCAACCTATAAGTTGAAGCTTTTGGAAAAATGAAATACAATTACCTTTCATTAATCACATCTTTGTATGCAAAACAATGCAACTTACAAGGCTTCATATTTAATACAGTAATTTAATTATTTTCATAATGGAGAAGCATTCGATCTGTTGTGGTCATTCAGCACCTCAGCAATGAAAGGCAGTCAGGTTTGATTCAAGGAAGGAAAGAGAAAGTCAAGTTGCTTAGATCAAGAGCCCCTCACTGGCATCAAGCTACCTCCTGAGGTGCATACAATATGACAATCAACTTGTCGGTTCTCTGAATCATTTACCAACATACAATATGATAAAACTCTGGAAAAGACAGCTTTACAATCTTCACAATAAATAAGGAAAATATTTCTGATAAAACTAAATTTCCAAGGAGTAATAATGCAAGAGTTCTACACAACATCCATTTTATTAGATCTTACATGTATACTCCGATATGACATCTTAAGAGTTATCCAGCCACACACGCAGACCAAAGCAGTTACCACATTATAAACAATAAAACTGTTACTTTAGATACACTACATTCAGTCTCCTTAAAAACACCTGCATCACATGTAAATAAAATGACCTAAAATTAACCTACAGTATATACCTTGTTAAATTCTTATTAAATCTCCAGATATATAAATGGGATATGTATAGTAAAATATTTTATACCTGTACTTTACTTCTTAACACTTATATAAAAAAAATCCTTTTGATTTACTTCCCAAATTTTAAAGAGTATTTTTAATGTAGTATCTGTTATGGATATGAGAAAAAAATATTTACCCTAGAGTGCTAGTGGTCTTAAATATGATAATAATTTTATCAAAACAGGTTTTCTTGAATTCACTCCAGTATATAGGGTTCCTTCACAGGGCCAATTTAAGAGCACCCATAACCTGTTGAAGCTACAGTGTTTGTTTGTATTCTCTGAAGGTGTGCATTATTACCCTCCATCACAAGAGTTATCAGCAATGCAATAAATGTAGCTTTGCAAACCTGTGCATTAATGATGTACCATGTTAGGAAAAAAGATGCATGTGCAACTAGTGAGATGTTTTAGGACAGCAACATTTCACTCTCCAGGAGCTTTGTCAAGCCAATCATTGGTTTGATAAAGCTCCTGGAGAGTGAAGCGTTACTGCAATACATTATTATTATTATAATCAAGGGGGAAGCGCTAAACCCGGAGGATTGTACAGCGCCTTACTACAATACAGTGTCTCTCTTATTAGTTGCACGTGTTATTTTACCTAACATACTGCTGATAATTCTACCAATATTCTTACAATGATGTACAATCTTAAAAAAAATTTAATACAGTACTGTATATGTTTTTTTATTAATACATTTCTATGCAAGTCAGTGCAAACCCATACATAAGCACTTACTTGAACTTGAATGATTTGTTGGTACACGTCCCGGCCCGGGTCTTTTCCAGAAGGTGACCTGACGAAAGCACTTACTATTGATCATTATCTACAATGAATTTATACTTTAAAGTGTAAAAAGAAAATAATTTCAGGGAGAAAAATTATAAACCAAAATATCAGTTTCAGAAAAAAATATTAGTTGCAATAAGTCTGTCTTAATTTAGGCACACTGAATCAATCAAAAACAGTTGTTCAATATAATTATCATGGAGCCTCACAATGTATAACTTACCTACATATGTTCTGCTATAACAACTTTAAAAGTTATTTCATTGAATTTTAGAAGAATTTACCCAAACAGATTTTTTCATATTTTTTCTCACTGACTGATCGATATATTCCCATGAATTAACATGGCATGAAGATTCATGATTTTTCACTAAACCTTATTTAGCAAACCAGCCTTGCTAAAATTTACACAACATAATTACTGGTATCTAGTATTATTTACTGTAACCTCAATGATATGTACAATTTTAATGATGTTCAAACTGATTACTGCAGTTGGAGCAAAAACAAATATAGTATATACCCAGATCGTTTGGTGAACTATCACGGTTTTCTAGGCAATGTCTACAAACTCTGATTGATTTTACAAATCTGAGGAATAATGTTTAAGTTGTTAAAAGCTTTAAGAGTTTTTACAAAGAGTGTGAGGTGCAGGTTAGCATATGTAGGAGAGAAGGTAGGTGGAGTACTGTATTTTACTGTAAAAGTAGGTCTTAGATAAGCATAATGTCACCATATATACTTGGATGATGACCAACAAACTCACTCTTATCACAGACAAAACATACTTCATGCTGTTTGGAAGCAGAGCCTTAAATATCCAACTTAATATACGTACTGATGAATGGTTCCCCTATTTCAAGACATACTGAGGGTAAATTTCTAGGTCTTCTCCTTGACTGTAATCTTAAATTTCATTCCTACATCCAGCATATATCCAAGAAAATTTCCAAATCAGTAGGCATCCTTTCAAAGACACAATACTATGTACCCTAAATGACACTTCTTACCCTATACAACTCATTAATATATCCCTACCTCACCTATGGTATTTATGCCTGGGGATCAACCACAGCCAACCACCTGAAACTTTTAATAACCCAACAAAAAGCTGCTGTGCAGATGATTGCCAGTTTCTGTGCTAGACAGCACACCCCACCACTTTTCAAAAGCCTGAACTTGCTAAATATATGAGACACTCATATTATTCTGCCTACTACACATACAGAACATTAAACTCCAATATAAACCCTCCACTTAAACTTCTCCTTGATAGCTACAACAGAACACACAGTCACAATACAAGGCATAAGGCACTCTTCGACATCCCTCATATCAGTCTCACACTATACAAAAATGCACTGCACATAAAGGGCCTGAAGATCTGAGATTCACTAGCTGAACTGGTAAAGGATCCCCTGACTACTACTTATAAATTTAGGACTTTGCTTAAAAATCATCTCATCTCTCAATACTAACCAAACCAACCAAAACAACTTCTAATTAACATATAGAAATCTTTATTGAAGAAATGTTTCTTCAATGAAGATTCCCATATGTTGCATAAGTGTCTCAATCTTCGGCTTGTCGGTTTTAAGCCATTTATCACACAACTTCTAATCAGTTATTATATTATATGAACTCTAGTCTGTTAAACATCTGCCAATCCATGAAATATTACTGTTTGAACCATTAACTGTAATATTGTTTTTATTATGTGCAACTTCAAGAATATTATTCTTATAAACCTCCACCTTGACTACCATGCATTAGTATTAAGATTAAATAAAGATTTTAATAAAAGTTAATCACTCTTATTTTGTCTAGATTTAAGTAGTTATTATGTACTAGGATTAGTCTGCCCGAAATGCCCCAGCATGATAGTAGCTTTTTTTGTACTTAGGAAATGGGAACAGAGGGTAGTCATGGCATTCCTGTTGCAGACACTGAAGATGGTTGTGAGTGATGGTCAGTGTGTTTTGCATCTTCATGTGAACATAGAAAAAACATAATGGGAGTAAAAAGTCTAAAGCTTTGAAAGATAGGACATCAAACTGGAGGGAGTACAGAAGAAGTGAGAATAATTAGATATTTGGATGTGCTGATAAATGGGTGTATGAAAGAAGCTCAATCAGAATACATGAGGGAAAGTACCTTGCCTGCATTCTGAAGAAGTCTTGACCTGTTCACTGCAAGCTAACTTCACCGATGGAGGCAGTGAAGATAAGCACATAGGAATATCTTATTTACTCCCTAGTATATTCATACAGCAAGGAAAGGTTTTAGGTACAGTGGAACCCTGGATATCGGCTGAATCAAATTTCGGCTGCTTTTTTGGCCAAAATTCTGTCCTGGACTTCGGCCAGCAACTCTGAAATTGGCCATATCGGACGCATCCGTCCGCCATTCCCCAGCGTTCGTGAGTCAGTCTGGCTGTGTCTCTGGGTGAGTGAGCAACATTCTGCGCATTCATCCAAACATTTCGTTATAATCCATTGTTTTTTGTGGTTGTTTATTGAATGCGACTGCGAAATAACCCACCAAGGGCCCAGAGAGAGTTCCTAGTGCCAGCCCTTTGGCAAAGAAAGTGAGAAACACGATAGAATTCAGTGATAAAACCTCGTCCTACTTCAGGCAAATCTTAAAGAGATGCCAGAAACAGACCTCTATGGACAGTTTTTTGTGCGACAGGGGTGCAGTGACTCTCAAGCTGGTCCTGGTGCCAGTGAAAAACAAAGAAGGGAAGTAACCCCAGAGAGGGACTTGATACATTAAGTCCTTTTTTTTTTTATACAGGGTTTGACAAGGTTAGGTTAATAAGGAACCCTAGCTTTATTGACAAGCTCTAGTTTAGAATTTTTAGTATTTAGTCACTTAGTATTTAGTCAACTTACTCCACAATTTGTAATAATTTAGGGTTAAGAATTAATCTAAGTTTGCCCGAAATGTCTAGCCATGCTAGGTGTTCTAGTGGCCCCCCTCTGTAATTAGTATTTTATTACATGTAAACCGCACAATAACCAAAATCTGTAAACCCCACATTGTAATCCTTATAGAGAATAAACTTTGATTGATTAATTGATTAAGGATTCCTAACTTTATTGGCAAGCTAAGAGCTGTTACCTACATCAGCTCATTTGAAAGCATTCTTATTGTTATGAGAATCCCCCTCGTTATGGAGGGGGATTCCTCCTTCCAAACAATAAGCTCTCCTCTCTCTCCCCTCCTTGCCTTCTTCAATACGCCAACAAGAGTCTTCAATAAATGCATGTAATGTTCAGTTATCATTAAAATTTGTGCTTTATATTTATTTCTCATTGTTTTTTGAATGTAAATCTATAGTTAATCTTTCAAAAATGTATTTTTCGTTAATATTTTTGGGTGTCTGGAATTGCATTTACATTAATTCTTATGGGAAATATTACTTCGGTTTTTGGCCTGTTCAGATTCAGGCCGACCTTCTGTAACAGACCATACCCCGGCCGGGATTGAACCCGCGTTTTGAGACTCTCTGACCGTGGGTTCAATCCCGGCTGGGGTAGGGTTTGTTTGCAATCGTGTTATTACGATTTCGTGAGTTCTGTAATGGATTGCAGCCGAAATCCGGGGTTCCACTGTATATTTTGAAAACAATGACAAATTTATGTTATAAACAACTGACTTCACTGTGACTGGGGTTACCCAGAGAATGGTTAAGGTTGCCTTTTATAGATCTTTTATACAAGATGTGATCAATTTTATGTAGGACGTAGTAGATAAAGCCTAGATCTAAAACATTATAAACATAGCTTTGGAGATCATAAGTATATCAGCTATGCCATGACTACATGTAGTCTTCCATTTCGGTAGAGTGCCATAATGGTGAAGAAGTCTTGAACAATGATAACACTCTCCCCTTTCTCTGATCATACCTGATTACCTTCTATCCCCCAGACACTATGGGACTTATGGATTTATTGCATCTCCATAATAATAATAATGGCAGGCCCTGCTTTACAGCACTTTGCTTTATGGCATTTTGCTAATACAGCGGTCATCAATAATACCATTCTTCATTTATTCAGACTTCCTACAATAAATATATTCACCACTCACTATAAGCTAAGGACAAAAATATTTTAAGGTAAGTAATGTGTGTACCGTATATGCATTTTTTAGGCTTATTACTCACTTACTATAGTATGACAGTGTAAACATGTTATCAGGCTTTTATATGCATTTGAAAGTGAAAAAAAAAGCTATTTTTGCTTTAGAGCGCTAGCTCATACCCTGACCTACTGTATAAGCAGAGCCCACCTGTAATAATAATAATAAATAATAACAGTAATAATAAGAAGAAAAAAAAGGATTAAAAGAAGAATAAGAATTAGAAGAGTAAGAAGAAGAATTAGAAGAGTAAGAAGAAGACTTAGAATAAGAAGAAAAATTGGAAGTAGAAGAAAAAGAATTAGAGAAAAAATAGATGTAGAAGAAAAAGAATTAGAAGAAGAATGATTACAAGAAGAAAAATAAAGAATAATTAGAAGGAAAAAAAAAGAATTAGAAGAGGACAAAAGAGAAAACAATTCTAAACTAGAAGGTCAAAGCTGTTGCCAAAATCATAATTTACAGAAAGACTGACAGTGCCTAGGCTTTGTTGACATACAATAGTATGGACAGCATATCCATCGCTCCAGTGTGTTTAATGAGGCCTCTGGTACTTCCTCAATTTGTCAATTTCACAATTGTGAAATTCTCATTTCCCTTCAGGGGAATTATGGCATAGTCATTATGTGTTATGGAATTGTACTGTGTTTATTACACAATTTTGCCACTGATTCTATTTTCCGCTTAACAACACCATAACTAGTTATAGGTATTTTGTGATATACAGTAGTTTAAATTAAATCAAATATAACTAAATTTAGTATTTCTTCTGATACATTACTGAAATTTTTATTAAAATATACAAAAATTGTTCACATTTAGAGTATAATGCATTGTAGATTTTCATAGGAACTATTGATAATGATTCATTAACAATTATTTTTGATACTATCTTAAACTGCTATAATTTTATTAGGTATTTATGAACTTCATGAGCCATAGTGGAAAACAAGTTTGTAAGGGACTTAGCACTCTAGAGTTTAAAATGACATTCTATGATCTCATTAGGCAAAAAATTATGATAAGCAATTGCAAGAATATAAGTAACATTTTCAATGAATTTTAATGTATGAAGATTTTAAAAAAGATAAGCCAAATTGAAAAATATATACAGTAAATCATACTGCTTTCACTAACCCTTCTTAAATTAGAGCATATAAATTCTGCACACTCTACCACTAGTATCTTTTCATTTAGTTGTAGATTAGCGATTTCTGTGGAATGCAGGATTTAACACTGAAACAGCTGACAATTGAGTTATTACTAATTTCTCAATCTCTAAATTAACAAATGTACAGTCTTCCTTGATGGCTTTTGCAGAGAACTTCCATAAAAATCATCACACTGTATAAAAACCTATAAAAGAAGGTCACACTGTCACTGAGGTAATGTTTCTGGAAGTTACCTACATAACATGCCAAATATTATGCCTCAACCTAAATGATAACAGTACAAAATCTATCAGAAACGAGCACTGCTGAACACAAGCGTCTAACAGACTCTGCATGGTGCCTCGGCACACACCACTGACACTAGCGGCTTCCACTTAATTCATTTCATAATTCAATATCTATATATACAAATTATTTACAATACAGAATGTTAAAATAATTTTATCTGTAAAATCAGTTTGTCATGTGAAAATTCAAATTCAGATTAACATATATTCTATGTATTGTACCTTATATGAAAATTAATACATTTTATGCAATAAAAACTTCATTGTTTCATTCACTAGCAATTTTTACAATACAATACATACCACATAATGAATTTATTAACTTCACATCATAGAAAATGGGAAAAATTAAGCAAAGCATGAGCTTCGGTCTGCGATTAATTGATCCCCTAAATTACACATTAGAAAGTATTATAATTCCAGCGATGTTCAACAATGGATCCGAGTCAAGCTTCATCTTTTTTTTTTTTTTTTTGGCTCATTTTGCCCTTCAAAACACCAAAACTTAAGCATGGTGGTGATGAGTCAAGAGCCCAGCATCATTGGTCTCGCCTTGGTAGTATGACACCAGTAGGCTAAGCAAACTACTTTATTGCCAGATGTCAAAAGATACACCCGAGGAGGAACAAGTAGTGTATGTACTTTACAGTTCTCAACTTGGAAAGGCAGTTTAAATTATTTATGTAATCCTTACCTCTGACTCATTAGATAATGAGCTTACGAGATACACTTTAGTGCAATTATAGCTCATTATGTGCCTCATTCTTAATGTCAGTTGGCAAATCTTAATGAATAAATTATCAAATGATGAAACAATTATAATAATGATCTACCTCGAGTACATCTTTGGCTTCCCCTATCTGGCAGTGTGAAGACAGAAGCAACATATACACAATATGCAGAGCATTATCATCATCGAAATTGGCACGGGTAAGCAGAGGCTCACTACAGTTTACAATCTCAAAGAGGTGCTAAAAGGGAATACGATGAGTAGAATAAGATGATGTTTTAATAGTGTCTGTCATTACAGATTGTTTCCAAACTAGACATTCTGAGGTTACCTTACACCTCACTTTCAGATATTAATTTCTGTCATTTTATTGTGATATTACATCGTTAGTTCATATTTGGACTGAATATCAGTGAGAAACATTGATAATGGAAACGTCCACTGTAGCACAGGCACTGTCCCTACTAGTGGTAACAGCTGGTGCCCATTAATACTTTCACATCGGTTACTGGTACATAATTAGGTAACCATGAAGGTCTAGAGCCACCAACTGGATAGCATGTATGTATAGCCATTCATATCACTTTTTCAGATACACAAATAACTAAACTTAGGAGACTGAAATATATAACGAGGTTTTGGTCCAATCTGGACCATCAACTAGTTGTCATCAATTGGTCCAAGTTGGACTGAAACGTCATCATAAATTTCGATCTCCTAGTGCGGGTTATTTGTATATTGTTCCAGTCATGGTACTGTAACTTTTATTCTTTGCTTCCTCAGATTTCATGCTTGCAAGGACTGCGATAAGATTTGGCAGACTTTGCAATGTGTTGATCATATAAGGCAAGGTTCATATTTGCCTCAGAATACAAACACAGTTGTGTTACAACAGCTTAGCAGAAAATGCTGGATATAAAACTAATGAACAATAAAGTAATAAGCTGAACATTTTTTTTTAACACAATGGCCATCTCCCACCAAGGCAGAGTGACCCAAAAGAAAGAAAAACCCACAAAGAACATTTTTTTTTTTTTTTTTTTTAACAAGTCGGTCGTCTCCCACCGAGGCAGGGTGACCCAAAAAAGAAAGAAAATCCCCAAAAAGAAAATACTTTCATCATCATTCAACACTTTCACCACACGCACACATTATCACTGCTTTTGCAGAGGTGCTCAGAATACAACAGTTTAGAAGCATATACATATAAAGATACACAACATATCCCTCCAAACTGCCAATATCCCAAACCCCTCCTTTAAAGTGCAGGCATTGTACTTCCCATTTCCCGGACTCAAGTCTGACTATATGAAAATAACAAAGAACATGTTATTGAATAATTACCAGTGAGTATATTCTTAAAAATTGATAACATTCTGGTCACTTGGAAAAGATCTGATATGTTCTTCAAAACCATTTAGGTACTCAAGAAATCAGGTACCAAAATTATCAAGAGGAGCACAGTAAATACTTCAATAAATTAGATACAGTATAACTGGAGCAAAGTAAGGTCTGATAAAGTATAACTGAAATAAAAACAGTTATGTTGAAGGTTTTAGCATAGATAAGTGGAAGTTCTTCTTTTTCTTTTAGTAAGCTATACAGGAAAAGGGGATACTAGCCCATTGTTCCCAGCATTTTAGTTGACTTTTACAAAATGCATGGCTTATGGGGGAAAGATTCTTATTCCACTTCCCAATGGATATGAAATCAAAAGCACTAAGAACAAGAACTATTAAGATAAAATCAAGGAAAACTCAGATTGAGTGTGTATACATGAACATGTACATGTATGTGTAGTGTGACCTAAGTGTAAGTAGAAGTAGCAAGATGTACCTGAAATCTTGCATGTTTATGAGACAGAAAAAAGGCACCAGCAATCCTACCATCATGTAAAACAAATACAGGCTTCCATATCTGAGTGCCTCTACAAGACAGTGATTATGTATGAGTGAGGTGAAAGTGTTGAATGATGATGAAAGTATTTTCTTTTTGGGGATTTTCTTTCTTTTTGGGTCACCCTGCCTTGGTGGGAGACAGCTGACTGGTTGAGAAAAAAAAATAGAAGTTTTTAGTAAGGTGGAAGTTTTTAGCATAGTTAAGTGGAAGTTTTTAACATAGTTAGGTGGAAGTTTTAAGTATAGTTAAGTGGAAGTTTTTAATATAGTTAAGTGGAAGTTTTAAGTATAGTTAAGTGGAAGTTTTTAACATAGTTAAATGGAAGTTTTTAGCAAACAGAATGATAGGGAAACAATTAAAATGGTAAAAAATGGTATTCTTTTAATATAATATAGTGAAGATAAAGAGTATTCACATACATTATTTATGTTACTGCACAATCGGGTCTTAGACACAGTACAATTATATCAGTCAAATTATTCAAGAATTTCTTTTTAAAGTGTGTGAAATGAATGGTTCAACATACATACTGTATACCAATTAGGAACTTAGACTGGCATGTGTTATATATTTTGCACCTTTGTTAACAAAGTACATTCTAAAGTTCCAGGAACCAGTAAATTAGCAATCTATGTACAGTACACAGGTTCAACCTTTGCTAAAATAAATGATTGCTTTCACTCTATGAACAGTGACACTACTTAAAAAAACCCATTAGTTTGCTATACTACATTATACCAAATACCTTCTCTAGGTATTTATATCTTCTAATTACCAGTAAAAGACTTATGCTTGCCAGTGAACTTTCATATTCTCACATTCTTACTTTTATTTGAAATTTTAACAGACTGTCAGATACTCAAAATTACACCAAGTAAATACAAATTTACTCTTAAAAGTCAGTATAGTACATACATAATTTTTTTCTTTTTGCATTCATAATTTGTTTCATAGAACCATTAATAACCACATCAGCTATGCCAAATACAACAATGATACTAATTTAATAGCAATAATAAAAATAAATAAATAATCTTTTTGTTCAAAAATACAAGGAACTCTTCCTTTGCATCAATGAGCTAGATATTCCATTTAAAGGAAATACATAGCAAACTATAGCAGATTCCAGACATTACAATAAGCTTTTCCTTTGTCTGTCCCAGACCACCTTGGACTTAAGAAGACTAAACTCAATCTGTTAGCTTAGGACCAGTTAAAGTAGTTCCTAGGACAGGCTCGGGCTGACCCGCACCAAGTTGTTTCATCTAGGACTGGGCAAACCTTTCCTCCCCGGCGGGCATGTTTCAGGATGGTTCTAGTCCTTGTCTGTTCACCAATTCCACAGGTTTTGCTGCAGGGAGACCATTCTGACCACTCAGACACACGGCAGTCACGAGGTGGACCTGTAAGAAGATAAGAGGACCGTGATGAAATGTATTATTAATACACGTACAGTATATATGTATTAGCACAATAACAGGTTAATTGTTTTTTATTCTAAACTAGGTCAGTAAATTAAGTGGTCACATAACTTGATGGATTATTATTATTGTAGTACATTCATGTGTATCCTATATCCATAGTGATACAGTGTCAGGGGAATGGTAGGCAATCACACTTGATCCAAGGAAAGGGAAGGTTGTTTCTATTCTTTGTATAAAGAACCCTTTACAAGCATCAAGCTTGTTGTTTATTTGGAAATTGTAAATATGTTTAATCTAGAAATATTACTTGAAATTATGTAAGCTGATACTTCTGTCCAGGCTGGCTTATTCTTACATATTCCTGCCATTCAATTCAGTTGCCTGTGTATCTTGTGCATTCTCACCTCTTTTCCTACTAGTAAAAATTTGAAAACTAACATTCTTAAAGTTTCTTTCCAGTTTTGTGGGTCTCAATCCTTTGGTGAATATGATAAGTTAAATTATGTGTCTTAATCAAGTGACCAACTGTGTTCACTACAGACAACACTGGATTTTTTTTTTTAAAACACACCAGCAATCTCCCACAAAGGTAGGATGACCCGAAAAAAAAGAAACAAAAGTTTTTCTTCTTTTCACACTTGGTAATTTAAACAGAAGGGGTTACTAGCCCCTTGCTCCTAGTAATTTAGTCATCTCTTAAGACACACATGGCTTACAGAGGAAGGGTTCTTTTCCATTTCTCCATGGAGTAACATTATAAATGTTCACATAATTTTACTGTAATAAATAATGTAGAATATGTTATGCTTGTTCTTTTCTACCTTGTCATTTACACAATGTGCTACGTCACTACATATCTTGTTGCGACATTCAAATTCAAGACAATGAGGTAAAGTGGTCACTTTTATGTTCTTACCAGTACTGTCTCTCATTGTTTATGAGGGAAAAGTCTATAACAGGCTACCTTGATCTACTGACATATGGGGTAAAATGCAAGAAATTAAGCTTCTCAGTTATATTCATGTATTATATACAATTTTGAGTTTATGATGACAGAGAGATAAACAGTAGTTTCTTGCAAAAAAATAAATTTAAGTGTATTACGTATTTTGTGTATACTGTATAGTATTTGCCTAATCTTTAATGCAAAGTATTTTACTTTTGTCTTCCCATTTCCCTGAAGTCTATCCAATTCACACACTCTCTCTCTTTTATCATCCTGTTTTCCACTAGCCACTACTCCAACTCACGAATCTTCTTTAGGCCCTTCCTGCGTCTCCTCCTTTCTTCCCTCCTTTGCTTCCTCCTTTGCTTCCTTCGCTTCTTGCGTTGCTCTTTCTGGTAATTCTTGACAATGTCATCAATAACAGCCATTGCACTGCCTGAGGGAATACGATTCTGTGTGATGCTGCCCAAGTCTTTTTTCCTACTCATCTGCATGGCGTCATCCACCTCCAGTTCTGTTGCTGTTTCTGTCTCGTCATCCGCTTCTACAGAGTTGCTCATGATTGAAACCTGATTGGAGTTAGAAATTTAATAATTAGATTGATTGTGGTACACAAACCATGTGAAGGGAAGTGTGCATAAATGAATGTTATGGGGTTATAGGACCCATAATGTATTTATGTACCTAAGTAGCAGTTAAAGACTCATTATTTGAAGTACAGTACCTAATTATATAAAACTGCTGGGGGCACAATTGTCTTGAGTCTTTATAAGGACTGATCAAACTTATGTGGAGAGACAGTTGTGTTAACCTTGTACTACCTCATATTAATAACAGAGTAAACAAACTTAATTACAAACTTAAAAATGTATGTTTGTATCATATACAGTGGACCCCCGGTTCACGATATTAATCCATTCCTGAGAGCTCATCGTAAACCAAAATTATCGGAAAGCGAATAAATTTTCCCCATAAGAAATAATGGAAATCAAATTAATCCGTGCAAGACACCCAAAAGTATGAAAAAAAAACTTTTACCACATGAAATATTAAGTTTAATGCAATATAATAATTACAATAACAATAATAACAATAGAATAATCACAATAGAATAATTGACACTTACCTTTAATGAAGATCTGGTGATGATTGATGGGATGGGAGGAGGGGAGAGTGTCGAAGTTTTTAATGTTTAGAAGGGGAATTCCCCTCCATTAGGACTTGAGGTAGCAAGTCCTTTTCCGGGGTTACTTCCCTTCTTCTTTTAATGTCACTAGGACCAGCTTGAGAGTCACTGGACTTCTGTCGCACAACATATCTGTCCATAGAGGCCTATATCTCTCATTCCTTTATGACTTTCCTAAAGTGGTTCACAACATTGTCAGTGTACAGGTTGCCAACACGGCTTGCAGTAGCTGTGTCAGGGTGATTTTCATCATACTATATATGCCACACTATGTATGCCACTACGATTCTTAAATCTTTCAAACCAACCTTTGTATCCTTTGATGCGCGCACACTGGCTGGCTTGTAAACACTGGCACACATGGGGCAGTTCAGGCCACATGTGGACACGTCTCGTACGAATCGTATCGCATACCGGGTTTTGTAACGGGAACCGAGGCAAATTTTTTGCGATATAATGCTTCAGATACCGATGGCTTCGCGAACCGGGGGTCCACTGTATTGTACTACCTTATATAATAGAGTAAAATATTGAATATTTGTCGTCTACGACTCTTCACCTGTCTAGACTTAAGCAGTAATTAAGTAGTACAGTGGAACCTCTAGTTGCAAGTGCATCCACGTGCAAGTTTTTCCAAATACAAGCAGTCAATCTGTTGAATTTTTGCTTCCATATGCGAGCGGGCCTCAAGGGAGGTTTCTTAATGCTGGTGAGGGGCTCTTGCTCTTGATCTAGGGAATTGGATCTCATTTGTTTGTTGAACTATCTTATTGAAACTTGGGCAATGTATGATGGAAAGATGCTTCTTAACATACACCAAAAATGAAAGAAATTGGACCATAAATAATGGAGTTCACTTCTCAGTAATTAGCCACCCCTTAGTGGTATTTTCGTATGGTTTTTATGGTTGTATTCTCGTTTTTTGGTCTCATTTGATAGAATGAAAGATATACTACAGACATAGATATGATTTTAATTGGTTTCACGACAAAAAGTACCTTGAAATTGAGCTCAAAGTAGCAGAAATGTTATATTCTTTATACAATTACGTATTCCATAATGCAGTAGTCTGCATAACAGTAAATCTTCTATTTTTTGTGTGAATAAAAATTGCAAATTATTTGTATTGTAATAATAATAATAATAATAGTATATAATTATAATACATATAATAATATTATAAAATAATAATGTACTATAGCTGCCTCCACCTGTTACATAATGACATATATTGTTCATTCTAGAGTTTATATCAGGTTTCTGTTATTTTTATTGTTTATTATGTCATATTAGATGAACTGTGACAAATAAGCTGTAGAGTTGATATTAGGGAAATTATTGAAGTACAGAATTCCACTGGAATGGATTAATTGCATTTCATTTAATTTAAATGAGTAAAATTGACTCTGCAAACGGGCAAATCCAGATGCAAGCAAGGTCACGGAATGGATTAAACTCGCAAGTGGAGGTTCCACTGTATTAGGTTAAGTCTGCCCGAAATGCCTCGGCATGATAGTAGCTTTCTTTGTACCAATCAAATTATGAAATGTAAACACACATTGTAATCTTAGCAAAGAAATAAAGTTTGATTTTGATTTGATTTGTATTTCAATATAAAATAGGTTCTGTTGTAACAATGAACTACATGTGTTAGTTTTTATGATTTCTCTGTATAACCAATTTAGTTGCTTATTCTAAGTAAATTAGTACAGGAAATAATATTTTAAATTTATACACATTATTATTATTATTATTATTATTATTATTATTATAATAATTATTTATAAAGCACTAAACCCATAGGGGGGTCATACAACACCTGAGGGAATGGTGGTATTCTGATTTGATCCAAGGAACAGGAGGGTAGATCCAATTCCTTGGATCAAGCACTGCTTACCAGCATCAAGAAATCTTCCTTCAGGGATAAATTTATACATAATGTATAATATGTAAGTAGTATTTGTTTTTTCAACATGCTGGCCGCATCCCACCATGGCAAGTGACCCAAAAAGAAAGAAAAAAATTTCATCATCATTCAGCACTTTCACCATCATTGATACATAATCACTGTCTTTGCAGAGGCGCTCAGATACGACAGTTTAGATGTCACTCCAAACAGTGAATATCCTAAACTCCTCCTTTAAAGTGCAAGCATTGTACTTCGCACTTCCATGACTCAAGTCTGGCTAACTGGTTTCCCTTACTCCCTTCACAAAATATTACCCTCCTCACACTCCAACAGCTCGTCAGGTCCCAAAAACCATTAGTCTCCATTCACTCCTATCTAAGACACTCACACATGCTTGCTGGAAGTCCAAGCCCCTTACCTGGAGTATACCTGGGGAGGGTTCCGGGGGTCAATGCCCCCACAGCTCGGTCTGAGACCAGGCTTTGTGGTGGATCAGGGTCTGATCAGTTACTGCTGGCCGCATGCAAATTGACGTATGACCCACAGCCCGGCTGGTCAGGTACTGACTTTAGGTGCCTGTCCAGCGCCTTCTTGAAGATGACCAGGGGTCTGTTGGTAATCCCCCTTATGTATGCTAGGAGGCAGTTGAACATTTTTGGGCCCCTGACACTAATTGTGTTGTCTTTTAACGTACTTGTGGCACCCCTGCTTTTCATTGGGGGATGTTGCATCTCCTGCCTAGTTTTTGCTTTCATGGGAAGTAATTTTCGTGTGCAGATTTGGGACTAGTCCCTCTAGGATTTTCCAAGTGTAGATTATCATGTATCTTTCTCGCCTGCATTCCAGAGAATACAAATCAAGGGACTTGAACCGTTCCCAATAGTTTAGGTGCTTTATTGTATTTATGTGTGCTGTGAAAGTTCTCTGTACATTTTCTAGATCTGCAATTTTCCCTGCCTTGAAGAGGGCTGCGGGGGCATTGATCCCCGAAACCCTCTCTAGGTAAACTCCAGGCTGTTAATGTACAGCAATACTCTAGCCTAGAGAGAACAAGTGATTTGAGAACCATCATGGGCTTGGCATCCCTAGTTTTGAAGGTTCTCATTATCCATCCTATCATTTTCTTTGAAATGTAAGAGAAACATTGTTGTGATCCTTAAAAGTGAGATCCTCTGCCATTATCACTCTCAGTTCTTTCACAATAGTTTTTCGCTCTATTTTGTGGTTGGAATTTGTTTTATACTCGGATACGTTTTTAATTTCCACGAGTCATCCAGTGAAATGAAAACAATTCCTCTTTCAAAGAATTGTAAACTTGTCCTACAGCCTGCCTAAAGGAGCCACAGAAGCAACAATAATGAGCACCATTATAAGAAAAAATCAAGGCAAAATGGGAGACCCACACACAAGCTGTAGACTTCCTGCATACAAGTATAAATAAAGCCACTAATCACTGGAAACCAGTCTTTAAAGAAGGTAAAGAATAAAATAAAGTGGCGAGAACCATCAAATAACTCAATAGGCAAAAGACAGAGAGCCTGCAAAAGAGGAAGGAGCCACAGGCTCTGCATTTACCCCATGGCAACCAGATTTAACATCTAACATGTAAATTCATGTCAAAGGCTGAAGTACAGTGCAAAACAATATTTATGTGAAAATATGCAGTTCTACTGCTATTCTCACATGGGTGCTCAAGAAAGACTAAATGGCAATTTAGTCTGTAACTAATTTGTTTCAACTTACTCTTTTAGAAGATGGCATATCAGTCTTTGGTGGAGGAAAGGCATTCTCCAGGGAGTTGTGTACCCCTGGCTCTGTCACTGTTTCTGGCCAATTGGGTGTTGGATAAACACCTGCCTGAGGCCTATGGTGACCATGATACGAACTGACAGTGGAAGTAGTGGGCATTGGTGTAGTACTGGAGGAAGTGGCAGTAGTCGAAGTTGTGGTGACACGTGGTGTGAAGGTGCGGACAGAAGTGACATATGACACACGATTCTGCAGTGAGATAGTAATGATAAACGCTTATCATACATGTTAGTGGCTTTCTCTGTGCTTAATAATACTTTACTACATGTAAACACACTGTATATTACGAAAGAAATAGATATTTGAATTTGAAAGAAAAGGTCGAGAGAAAAATCACGAGTCAAACGTATCGTGTAAATATTCTTTTTCCATTCACGTTTTACATGTGTGAAATACATGGTAATATATTCAGAGGCTTAAGTCATAGCCCTAGCGCTTGCAGGGAATATAAAAATAAACCCTTATTTTTCAACACGGTTTTGAAAATATTAGACTTTAATCTTCTTTGTGTATGTGGGAACACCTAAGATCACACAAGTGATCTCTTTGAAGGAGGGTGATGCTGGTGAGGGGCTCTTGATCCAAAGAATTGGAGCTACCCTCTTCTTCCTCGGACTGAACTTGACTACCTCTCATTCCTCAAGCGCTGTACGACCCTTACAAGTTTAGCGCTTTCAAGAATTCCTTGTAATAATAATAATAATAATAATAATAATAATAATAATAATAATATTCACACGAGTGACTTTAATCCTGCTAATGTGTGCGGGATATTTCTTGTAATATCACACAGTAGAAACCTTCCTTGTAAAGATTATGTTCAGATTATTAAGCTGGAGGTTGAGTACTTCTCCAAGATAACCCAACAAAGTCAGGATGTCATCGATGAGTGTTTGTCTTATTGTTATTGAGTACTTTATCCTCTCCCCAAGGATACGACCTAGACTTGTCAGCTAGCACTAAGGTACCTACTTACTGCTAGGTGAAGAGGGGAAGCAGGTTCAAGCAAACATGTCCAATATTTCCACTTGTGCCAGGGATCGAACCCCGGTCCTCTAGTGTGTGGGCTGAGGCGGCTACCAATTATGTGGATAGGAGAGATGTAGATACGTCTCATAACTTCACACAACAGTGTCATCAAATGGCACTGTTATGATTAGATTTTAGATTTTGCCACCGAAGTGGCTAGTTTATTGTGCACCCCATATCCATCTTGTGGACGGTAGCGCGAGAGCATATGGATACACTAAAGCTAAAGGCCCAGGAACTAGATCCCACTGTTATGTCCATTGTATAATGTGGGAATAATTCTTTGTGTTTGTGTAGGGGATCACACCTGTCATAACATCACACAGAGTGACTACCTTGATCCTGTTGTCCTCAGGGTTGTTATCACTTCTTTCCACATCAGAGTCACTGCCTGCGGCCGCCTGGAAAAAAAGAAAATTAATTTTAAAGTTTCAAAGATTCACAAAGAAGTATGAAATTTCTGGGATGCATAAGAACTACATAGGAAACTTCAGAATCCTTTCTGATATAATGGCCTGTGATACTAATGATAAAGGAAATGTTCAAGTTATTTCACTAAATTTTTTTAATCTCCATAATCAATACTTTGAAGTGAATCTAATGCTGTTTGTTGAGTATGGACACACAACCAAAGGAATTATTTAAGTTAGTATACTGTCTTCAATTATTTTTCTTCCTATTTTCTCATTTTAATATATTTTAACTGAAAACATTATTAAGTCTCACATATATAAGCATGAACAGTGTACTCATGTTTAATGCACACTTCTATATTACAAATGTCTACTTGTCTGTCTTATGTCTCCTGTCCTATCTTCTTAATGTTTGTCTGCCTACTATCATATAAAATACAATTATATAACAATAATTATTCTAATTACATAAACTGATCCATGTTGTAGTTCAACACGATGTTGTTAAGGTCAGCTGGATCCAGAATGGTGATGAAATAAGTCACTTTCACTTTTCTTGGGTTAGCCTAGGTAATTTACACATATGTTACTATGTATGGTAATTTGTGTAACTATATTTATGTATACCTGTACACTTAAAATAAAAATTTGTGTAATATGTTGAGATATAAAGGAAAACTAAAAGTGATCCTAGAACACTGCCTTGTGGTACCCCAGTGTTGATGGTGGTGTTTACCTGGAGTTTACCTGGAGAGAGTTTCGGGGGTCAACGCCCCCGCGGCCCGGTCTGTGACCAGGCCTCCTGGTGGATCAGCGCCTGATCAACCAGGCTGTTGCTGCTGGCTGCACGCAAACCAACGTACGAGCCACAGCCCGGCTGATCAGGAACTGACTTTAGGTGCTTGTCCAGTGCCAGCTTGAAGACTGCCAGGGGTCTGTTGGTAATCCCCCTTATGTGTGCTGGGAGGCAGTTGAACAGTCTCGGGCCCCTGACACTTATTGTATGGTCTCTTAACGTGCTAGTGACACCCCTGCTTTTCATTGGGGGGATGGTGCATCGTCTGCCAAGTCTTTTGCTTTCGTAGTGAGTGATTTTCGTGTGCAAGTTCGGTACTAGTCCCTCTAGGATTTTCCAGGTGTATATAATCATGTATCTCTCCCTCCTGCGTTCCAGGGAATACAGGTTTAGAAACCTCAAGCGCTCCCAGTAATTGAGGTGTTTTATCTCCGTTATGCGCGCCGTGAAAGTTCTCTGTACATTTTCTAGGTCGGCAATTTCACCTGCCTTGAAAGGTGCTGTTAGAGTGCAGCAATATTCCAACCTAGATAGAACAAGTGACCTGAAGAGTGTCATCATGGGCTTGGCCTCCCTAGTTTTGAAGGTTCTCATTATCCATCCTGTCATTTTTCTAGCAGATGCGATTGATACAATGTTATGGTCCTTGAAGGTGAGATCCTCCGACATAATCACTCCCAGGTCTTTGACGTTGGTGTTTCGCTCTATTTTGTGGCCAGAATTTGTTTTGTACTCTGATGAAGATTTAATTTCCTCATGTTTACCATATCTGAGTAATTGAAATTTCTCATCGTTGAACTTCATATTGTTTTCTGCAGCCCACTGAAAGATTTGGTTGATGTCCGCCTGGAGCCTTGCAGTGTCTGCAATGGAAGACACTGTCATGCAGATTCGGGTGTCATCTGCAAAGGAAGACACGGTGCTGTGGCTGACATCCTTGTCTATGTCGGATATGAAGATGAGGAACAAGATGGGAGCTAGTACTGTGCCTTGTGGAACAGAGCTTTTCACCGTAGCTGCCTCGGACTTTACTCTGTTGACGACTACTCTCTGTGTTCTGTTAGTGAGGAAATTATAGATCCATCGACCGACTTTTCCTGTTATTCCTTTAGCGCGCATTTTGTGCGCTATTACGCCATGGTCACACTTGTCGAAGGCTTTTGCAAAGTCTGTATATATTACATCTGCATTCTTTTTGTCTTCTAGTGCATTTAGGACCTTGTCGTAGTGATCCAGTAGTTGAGACAGACAGGAGCGACCTGTTCTAAACCCATGTTGCCCTGGGTTGTGTAACTGATGGGTTTCTAGATGGGTGGTGATCTTGCTTCTTAGGACCCTTTCAAAGATTTTTATGATATGGGATGTTAGTGCTATTGGTCTGTAGTTCCTTGCTGTTGCTTTACTGCCCCCTTTGTGGAGTGGGGCTATGTCTGTTGTTTTTAGTAACTGAGGGACGACCCCCGTGTCCATGCTCCCTCTCCATAGGATGGAAAAGGCTCGTGATAGGGGCTTCTTGCAGTTCTTGATGAACACAGAGTTCCATGAGTCTGGCCCTGGGGCAGAGTGCATGGGCATGTCATTTATCCCCTGTTCGAAGTCATTTGGCGTCAGGATAACATCGGATAGGCTTGTGTTAATCAAATTTTTGTGGCTCTCTCATAAAAAATTCATTTTGATCTTCGACTCTCAGTCTGGTTAGCGGCTTGCTAAAAACTGAGTCATATTGGGACTTGAGTAGCTCACTCATTTCCTTGCTGTCATCTGTGTAGGACCCATCTTGTTTAAGTAGGGGCCCAATACTGGACGTTGTTCTCGATTTTGATTTGGCATAGGAGAAGAAATACTTTGGGTTTCTTTCGATTTCATTTATAGCTTTTAGTTCTTCCCGCGATTCCTGACTCCTAAAGGATTCTTTTAGCTTAAGTTCGATGCTTGCTATTTCCCTGACCAGTGTCTCCCTGCGCATTTCAGATATATTGACCTCTTTTAGCCGCTCTGTTATTCTTTTCCGTCGCCTGTAAAGGGAGCGCCTGTCTCTTTCTATTTTACATCTACTCCTCCTTTTTCTTAGAGGAATAAGCCTTGTGCATACATCGAGTGCCACCGAGTTAATCTGTTCTAGGCATAAGTTTGGGTCTGTGTTGCTTAGTATATCTTCCCAGCTTATATCGGTTAGGACTTGGTTTACTTGGTCCCACTTTATGTTTTTGTTATTGAAGTTGAATTTGGTCTGGGGCTCCACGCATACATGTCTGAACCTCAATTATGTTGTGATCTGAGTATATTGTCTTTGATATGGTGACATTTCTTATCAGATCATCATTGTTAGTGAAGATGAGGTCTAGTGTATTCTCCAGTCTAGTAGGCTCTATTATTTGCTGGTTTAAATTGAATTTTGTGCAGAGATTTAAAAGCTCGTGTGAGTGTGAGTTTTCATCAGAGCTGCCTCCTGGTGTTATTACTGCAACAATATTATTTGCTATATTCCTCCATTTTAGGTGCCTTAAGTTGAAATCCCCCAGGAGCAAGATGTTGGGTGCAGGAGCTGGAAGATTTTCCAGACAGTGGTCAATTTTTAACAGCTGTTCCTGGAATTGCTGGGATGTTGCATCCGGAGGCTTGTAGACTACCACAATGACTAGGTTTTGGTTCTCGACCTTTACTGCTAAAACTTCCACTACGTCATTTGAGGCATTAAGCAGTTCTGTGCAAACAAGTGACTCTGCAATGTACAGGCCAACCCCCCCCCTTTTGCCTGTTCACTCTGTCACATCTGTATAGGTTGTAACCTGGGATCCATATTTCGTTCTCCAAGTGATCCTTTATGTGGGTCTCAGTGAAAGCCGCGAACATTGCCTTTGCCTCTGCAAGCAGTCCACGGATGAAAGGTATTTTGTTGTTTGTTGCTGGCTTTAGACCCTGTATATTTGCAAAGAAGAATGTTATCGGACTGGTGGTATTGTTGGTACTGGGGGGGGGGATTTTTTTCCGGCATTAGTATCTGTATCTGTTGGTTTGGAGTGGAGGCCATCGACTGTGGTTCCACTCCAGGAATGACTGGATTTGGTGTACGATTTCTGCCATTTCCTGCCAGTTTTTTTTCCTTCCTGGCACTAAAAAACTCTCCCTCTTGAGTGGCTGTGGCTACCCAGGTTTTCCCATGGCCTGGATGTTTTGTATCTTTTTGTCCCCTTTAGATGGTATGCCTGGCAATTTAAGTTATAGCACAGTCTTTCCTGTACTGAAGAGGTACACATTTCAGGGTGAAAAAGCTTACAGGAAGGGAGTTTGCATTTTCCTGTTGTCATATGGGCATGGCATTTTCTAGGGTGGTCATAGTTGCATGTCCCATCTGTTTTTCCAGATTTCCCATGCCAGCAGATACCAAGTGCATAGTATGTGCACAGGCTTGGTTTCCGCTTGCCTTGGGTTTCTGTGACTGTATTCCCTGTTGGTGCATGTTTCCCTGTCTTACTTCTATCCTCCCTAGCACCAACAATGGAGCTCCCACCAGTTGTTTTTGGTAATTTATCCTCACTATTGCTATTGGAGTCCTCTTGTTTGCTATTTCCTGCGGTATTTCTAGTTTGCAATATTGGTGTAGATGATGTTACTTACCATCACTTGTTGAAGTCTCTCACTGAGATTAAACTTTATGTAGAAGAGTGCATGGCCTCATATTCCATATACTAGTTAAGGTGTAGGATGTTGTGGTCTTCTGTATCAAAACATCTTAGGTCAACAATGAGGTTTCTTGGATGTTCATTGTTTTACGGGACTATGCAGATGAATCAAGCATTTTTGTTACTCCATCATTTGTTCTTTTTTTTAACATTGTTAACTGCCGTTTTGCAATTTCCTTGGATATTAAGCCCAGACTGTATTTTTTTCATGTCTTTTTTCGTTGGATGTGATGAAGCTCTTAGTTAACCATGATCTACTTTTGCTGTCTTTTTTTTTATACCATGAATTACAACAATTTATATTTTCTTTCAAATATCTTAATACCTGTAGCTGATAATATTCTATTATACTTATAAGTTATCATTTATTCGGAACTTTTAATCCGGGTTCTCCAGGTATACTCCAGGATGAGGGTTAACTACCCGGGATAACCCAAGAAAGTCAGTGCGTCATCCAGGACTCTCTGTCTTATTTCCATTGTGATCCTTCAATCTTGACCCCAGGATGCCACCCACACCTGTCCACTAACACCCAAGTACCTACTTACTGTTAAGTGGACAGGGACAGAATGTGTAAGGTGACTAACACCTAAGTACCTACTTACTGCTAGGTGAACAGTGATAACAAGTGTAAGGAAACATGCCCAACGTTTCACCCGTGCCGGGGATTGAACCACGGACACTGTGTGTGAGACGAGAGCGTTGCTACACGAGAAGAAATATTGCCCAAAGCTGAGCAATGAAAGAAAAGAGAACAGGAGTCTCTTTGTATATAGAAGCAGAAACTAGAAGTTACCAAATAGACCAGGTGGACTTCCCCTCGCCAAACCCCAGCAGAGCGGGACACCCACACCTGAGTTCAGTAACCGGCTTCCCACCAAAACCGTTAAAGAATTATCTGCAGAGGGGAAAAATGGAGCTGGTAAAAATAGAGCCGATGAAAGGTGCCTCTCGTAACGTGCGCGGTGAGCAAAGTAAGATGGGGATAAGCGTTCCAGAGAGACCGGGAGAAATTTGTCACCGATGCTCAGGCATTAGTTTTGGTTGTGCTGCCTGAGTGGCTAATTTACTGAGCACTCCGTGCTCGTCCTAAGCGGTAGTGAAAAACAAACAGGATTACTTATCTCTATGTACTGTTCTATTTTCTTCAAGCTCTTTTGCTAGTTTCTGCCTGATAATGTTTCGTAAACTTTTGTTTGAAAAAAAACAATATTATACTCAACATTGCGCCTTTGCGCTCCTATGATCGTATTTGCTTGAACCTCCTTTTTTCTACAACACTGCAAGCTCCTGATGATGTGTTGGCCTAGAGCTATCATTCAACTCCCCCCGTGGTTGTTTTTGCTAGTATTTGCTTATATTTCTCAAAGAACAGGTGTCATATATACAAGTATCAGATACTTACCTCATCTCCGAAGTGCTTGTAAGCAATGTCTTCTAACTTGACCACATCATATGCTGTGTGAGAGGCAGTGTCGAGGTGCTCACTCAGTGTGTACTCCTTCATCTGGTGGAGTACGACACGCTCGGTATCACTACACAATATATGGGATATTATATATAAATAACCCGCACATAGGAGACAGAAAGAAGCTTACGACAACGTTTCGGTCCGACTTGGACCACAAATGGTCCAAGTCGGACCGAAACGTCGCCGTAAGCTTCTTCTCTCGCCTATGTGAGGGTTATATGTGTATTGTTCCAGTCAAGGTATTGTGCCTTTTTATTCTTTATAGGATATCACTCGTCTACAGACTTTTTTTTTTTTAATCAAAATCAGGTACTCAGGCAGTATGTTAGTTTGGTACCTTTCCTGTGGACAGCTGCTAAGAGATTACAGAGGCACAAATTGAGTCCAGGGACCGGGCCTCCAACACTGATCACCTAGCAAGTTACAGAAGTAGTGAACTACAGTATTTAGTCATAAAGGATTCAATAACGACAGCCAAGGGTTGCATACAGCATGAATTCAGTCATAAACATTACAGTGAACCATATTCATTACGTTACAGAGTCACACCGGTCTAAGATCCTGGGGCTCGTAGTCACACGCTTCAAGGGCTCTTGATGCAAGGACTTGGAGCTATCCTCCCCCTCCCTGTGTCAAACCAAATATCGTTCCATACACAGAGCTGTACGAGACATACGAGTTTATCGCTCTTTTTCCCCTTCTAAATATATTACAATTACTGCTACCACCAGTGCTGCCACTACTGGTAATAATATTAATAATAGTAATAATAACAATAACGATAATAATAATCGTAGAAGTAACTTTGAGGGTATAAGGTAGCAGGTGTTACCTTAGTGATGGTGAATGTAGCTATCCTGGGCAGGTGATGTAGGGTGGGGTAGTAGAAGGAATGGGCAGGGTGGTCAGGGTAGTTAGCTGTAATGCGGAAGATTCTCTCAGGTGGGCTGGTGGGCCAGTTAGGCGAGGTGAAGGTCAGACCATTGTCCGTGCCCGCGTCCAGAGGGTCAACCTGCGAGGGTAAGGTCAAAGATCATTACTACTCGTGTTTGGTCTCCTTTCATGATGGGGACAAGAGGGATGTGTTGATGCTGTTGAAGAGTTCTTGATCAGAGGAAATGGAGGTATCCTTCCTATCTGCCACACGTACCAAGGAAATTCTATCTCTCTTTCTCCAACAGCTCAGCCTAAGAGCCCAGAATATGTTTCAGCATAAATAGTAGAGATATTTCCCCTTTTCGTTTAAATGTACTGACTTTTTTTGACCAGTGGCGCAGAATAAAAATGAATTTTGTGAAGACTCATCTAGATACATATCGGGATCTGGAGGCCAGATTTCAATGAAAAGAGTTAAGAGGTAGAGTTGGGAGCCACGATTAAATCCCTGCAAACACAGTTAGGTGAGTACACACCTGTATCTTAACGTTGTCGACCCAGTTACCGTCTTCACACAGTTCAAAGCTGTCCACTCCAACGAACCAGTCTGGGGACGGCACGATCTTGGAGACCAGAGACACCTGGCAGGTGAAAGACAGTCAGTGAGGAAACACCAGTCAGAAGTATCAGGAAATTATTAATGATAACCTTTACCTCTCTCTCTCTCTCTCTCTCTCTCTCTCTCTCTCTCTCTCTCTCCTCTCTCTTTCACTCTCTCTCTCTCTCTCTTTCTCTCTCTCTCTTTCTCTCTCTCTCTCTCTCTCTCTCTCTTTTCTCTCTCTCTCTCTCTCTCTCTCTCTCTCTCTCTCTCTCTCTTTTCTCTATATTATATATATATATATATATATATATATATATATATATATATATAAAGTTATTTCAAGGCTGCCAGTAATGCTTTACATAACCAGGGTTGTCTGTAAAGTATATTATAAATGTTATCTTTATCGAATCGATTTGAAACCACAGGTTATAGAGATAAAGTTTATCATTAATAATTTTTTTTTTTTTTTTTTTTATCACACCGGCCGATTCCCACCAAGGCAGGGTGGCCCGAAAAAGAAAAACTTTCACCATCATTCACTCCATCACGTCTTGCCAGAAGGGTGCTTTACACTACAGTTTTTAAACTGCAACATTAACACCCCTCCTTCAGAGTGCAGGCACTGTACTTCCCATCTCCAGGACTCAAGTCCGGCCTGCCGGTTTCCCTGAATCCCTTCATAAATGTTACTTTGCTCACACTCCAACAGCACGTCAAGTATTAAAAACCATTTGTCTCCATTCACTCCTATCAAACACGCTCAAGCATGCCTGCTGGAAGTCCAAGCCCCTCGCACACAAAACCTCCTTTACCCCCTCCCTCCAACCCTTCCTTGGCCGACCCTACCCCGCCTTCCTTCCACTACAGACTGATACACTCTTGAAGTCATTCTGTTTCGCTCCATTCTCTCTACATGTCCGAACCACCTCAACAACCCTTCCTCAGCCCTCTGGACAACAGTTTTGGTAATCCCGCACCTCCTCCTAACTTCCAAACTACGAATTCTCTGCATTATATTCACACCACACATTGCCCTCAGACATTAATAATAATATATATATATATATATATTATATATATATATATATATATTTTATATATAATATATATATATATATATATTTTATATATATATATAAATGTATGTATATATATGTATAACCTGAGGCTAGCCGGGGGATCGAACCAATGTTGTTTTAGCCCACTGGACCACACCATGTATGGTCCAGTAGTTCAGGCCGTCATGAATTTTCGCTCTGCCCCGAAGCGGACTAAAAACAACAGTTCGATCCCCCGGCTAGCCGCTGTTTGTAATTGATTAAATACCACTTGTTCGTGGTTGAAATAATATATATATATATTATATATATATATATATATATATATATATTATATATATATATATTATATATATATATTATATATATATATATATGTCGTGCCGAATAGGCAGAACTTGCGATCTTGGCTTAAATAGCAACGTTCATCTTGCCATATAGGACAAGTGAAAATTTGTATATGCAATAATTTCGCCAAAATCATTCTGAACCTAACGAAAAAAATATATTTCACTGAGTTTGTTTAGTATTAAATTATTGTAAACAAATCTAAAATATATGTAGTTGGGTTAGGCTAAAATAAATTGTTCTTCTTATAATAAGGTTAGGTAAGTTTTCTAAGATTCTTTTGGAGGAAAATTAAAAATTTTTACATCAACATTAATGAAAAAAATATATCTTTAAATGTATAAGAGAAAATTTCAGAAAGGAGTTAATTTTAAATGAGTTCTTGCTAATTGACCAGTTTTACATATTCGGCACGACATTATGTATATACGTATATATATATATATATATATATATATATATATATATATATATATATATATATATATATATATATATATATATATATATATACAGTGGTCCCTCGTTTTTCGTAATTAATCCATTCCTGGAGCCGTTACTATAAACGAAATTTACGATTTACGAATCAATTTTCCCCATAAGAAATAATGTAAATACAATTAATCCGTTCCTGACACCCAGAAGTATTAAAACAAAAAAAATTTTAACATGAAATATACATGTAGTACATAAACAATACAATGGGAAATGATGAATGAAACATTAACATTAATGAAAAAAATATATCTTTAAATGTATAAGAGAAATTGCCGACCAAGAAAATGTACAGAGAACTTTCACGGCGCGCATAACGGAGATAAAACACCTCAATTACTGGGAGCGCTTGAGGTTCCTAAACCTGTATTCCCTGGAACGCAGGCGGGAGAGATACATGATTATATACACCTGGAAAATCCTAGAGGGACTAGTACCGAACTTGCACACGAAAATCACTCACTACGAAAGCAAAAGACTTGGCAGACGATGCATCATCCCCCCAATGAAAAGCAGGGGTGTCACTAGCACGTTAAGAGACCATACAATAAGTGTCAGGGGCCCGAGACTGTTCAACTGCCTCCCAGCACACATGAGGGGGATTACCAACAGACCCCTGGCAGTCTTCAAGCTGGCACTGGACAAGCACCTAAAGTCAGTTCCTGATCAGCCGGGCTGTGGCTCATACGTTGGTTTGCATGCAGCCAGCAGCAACAGCCTGGTTGATCAGGCTCTGATCCACCAGGAGGCCTGGTCACAGACCGGGCCGCGGGGGCGTTGACCCCCGGAACTCTCCAGGTAAACTCCAGGTAATAACACTTACCTCCTTTATTGGAGATTCTTCTTAGTGTATGGGAGACTGGAGGAGGAGAGAGAGTGGATTGTTTATAGTTTGGAAGGGGAATCCCCTTCCATCAACACCTCAGGTAGCATTTGTTTTTCTGGAGTTGCTTCTCTTCTCTGTTTCTTAATGCCACTAGGACCACCTTGAGAGTCACTGGAGTCCTGTCTCACAAAATAACTGTGGAGAGAGCTCTGTTTCTGGCATCTCTTTAACACTTCCCTAAAATGGTCCAAGACTTTGTCACTGTACATGTTGCCAACCTGGCTTGCAACAACCTTGTTAGGGTGATGTTTCTCCATAAAGCTTTCCATCTTACCCCACATAGTAAAAATCTCTTTAATTTCTGAAGAAGGCACCTTCTTCCATCTCTCTTCCTCCTCCTCTGCAGCAAGATTCTGAGCTGCGATGTGTTGCTCTTCCTGCTGAAGCTCTTGCAGCCCCTCAGTGGTGAGCTCTTCATTGTGGTCTTCCACCAATTCTTCCACATCCTCCAAACTCACATCCAACCCCATGGAACTCCCCAGTGCCACAATTGATTTTACAACAGACATAGGCTCATTAGGGTCAGTCCCAAATCCTTCAAAATCCCTTTTGTCGACACAATCTGGCCAAACTTTTCTCCAGGCAGAGTTCAAAGTCCTGGTAGTCACTCCCTCCCAAGCCATACCTATAAGGGTTATGCAGTGGAGGATGCTGAAGTGTTCTCTCCAAAATTCCCTTAGGGTCAAGTGAGTGTCTGTGGTCACAGTCAAGCACCTGTGAAACATTGCTTTTGTGAAGAGTTTTTTGAAGTTTGCAATAACCTGCTGGTCCATGGGTTGGAGGAGAGGAGTGGTATTCGGGGGCAAGAACTTTATTGTGATGAACCCAAACTCCTCGAAAATTAGGTCATCCAAGTTTGGAGGATGAGCAGGTGCATTGTCCATTACTAGCACGCACTTGAGATCCAATTTCTTTTCCAGGAGACACTCCTTCACACTAGGGCCAAACACTTCATTGAACCACTCGACGAAAATTTCCCTCGTGACCCATGCCTTACTATTAGATTTCCAAAACACACACACAATTTACTCTTCATAACATTGTTTTTCCTGAACACTGGGATTTTCAGAATGGTACACTAGTAATGGCTTCACTTTGAAATCCCCACTAGCATTAGCACAGAACATTAGCGTCAGACTGTCTTTCATAGGCTTGTGTCCTGGCATTGCCTTTTCCTCTTGTGTAATGAAGGTCCTCTTTGGCATTTTCTTCCAAAAGAGGCCTGTTTCGTCACAATTGAACACTTGTTCAGGTTTCAGTCTTTAAGCCTCTATGTACTCCTGGAATTCATGCACATATTTTTCAGCCGCCTTGTGGTCCGAACTGGCAGCCTCACCATGCCTTACCACACTGTGTATGCCAGTACTGTTCTTAAATCTCTCAAACCAGCCTCTGCTGGCCTTAAATTCACTCACTTCACCACTATTTGCAGGCAATTTCTTTACCAAATCTTCATGCAACTGCCTAGCCTTTTCACAAATAATCGAAGTCATAAGAGTATCTCCCGCTAATTGTTTCTCATTTATCCACACCAATAATAACTTCTCAACCTCTTCCAGTACTGGTGATCTCATTTTTGTCAGCATAGTTACTCCCTTTGCAACAACAGCATCCTTTATTTCCTTTTTCTTGGCCACTATGGAACATAAGGTTGTGTAGGGTTTCTTATACATCCTGGCCAGTTCGGCCACACTTGTACCACTTTCATATTGTTTAATGATGGTTTTCTTAATTCAATCGTATTTCTCACCTTCTTTACCACAGGCTTGGCACTAGGAGCTTTCTTTGGAGCCATGGTAGCTTATTTAGTACTTGCAAGCACTAAAATAAATGGAATATCATGAAATATTTCACTGGAGCACGTGAGGGGACCTTCGCTCACTGGTAAACAATGCCAGACTGGCTGCCGCCCCGCCCCGGCTCACGCAGTGGGTACGCGTCCCGGACTAACTACCACTCGCGAGTCAACCTATGAAAAGCGAGTCCATGTTTATACGAAAATACACCTATGATTGGCGAATTTTATGATTGCCGGGAACTACGAAAAGCAGGGGACCACTGTATATATATATATATATAATATATATATATATATATATATATATATATATATATATATATATATATATACATATATATATAAAATATTTATATATATATATATATATATATATATTATATATATTATATATATATTTTATATATATATATATATATATATATATATATATATATGCGCAATAAGATTACAGTAAACAGATA